CGTTAGCCGTTTAGCCGTTAGCCGTGATGAAGTAACACAAGATTCTGATCTGCTGAAACCTAAGGGATTAACTAGAGATCCTGAGGTTATTTACACCACAGTAGCTGTATGCCAACAGGAATTGCGATGAAGAATTGGTTTTACCCCAGTAGAAGACTTAAAAATTCCGACCTCCTGCCTTTGACTAACTTTTATGACGATATTTCAAACCAAATGCTGGAATCTTATTCATTCCACAGCGCTTAAACTTATTAAGGCCTGAATCAGAACTTTTCGTGCCAAATGGTAAAGATGTAAAGTCACCATTTGTGATATACAACTTTAGTCGTGGTATCGTCAAGACATGCTCTGATATTAACTGTAGAACAATAATTATACTAATGAGTATTCGCGTTAGCTTTTTTGGACTTTTGTTTTAAGAGGAGATGTCATGGTTACAGACCTTGCCTTACCTAATTATTCTAAGAAAAATAAGGGATCTTGAGTGAGTTATGGCTTGACTCGATAGATATAGACACGGAAGGCTCATACTGCTTGTGTATGTACCGAAACGCCTTTTTTTTTTTCATTTACAAAGCATGAATGTACACTTGCTAGAGATAAGAAGCCTTGATTTTACCACAGTGGAGCATGCTCCGAGTCATGGATTCTCATGAAGCGCGTAATAGGAGAGATAAATTATGGATGCTGGGTTTTTTGGGCCCGATGTCAAGTCATTTTGATTTCTCTCCTCCAATGGTACATCGATGTTTGCATTTGTTCCAAGTGATAGTAAGTAGATCTCGAGGTTGCAACTTCGGGGCTTCACCTAGTTTCACTGATTATGCTGTCAAATTTTTTTTGGCCTCAAAGCCCACCCGTGTTACCGCAAAAAATTTTCTTACCCTCCTAAACGTTTACCCAGCATCTTTAGCATCCTGTAAGGAATCACACTGTCAGACGTTTCTAGGCTGGATGACACTAGTGTTTTTAAAAGAGGTTGAAACAGAAAAGGTAAAGTGTGAAGCTCTTTAGCAGAAGAACAGAGAAAATTGTTTCTGTTCGATGGATATTAATTGTATTGTGATATACCAACATGATGGATTGTATGCATTCCCAATTCCAAAACACACATGCCAAAAAACAGCTAAAAAAGAGATGGAGTGACGATAACTCAAACTGACAGCTGGGTAGCATAAAAAATTTGGCAGCGATTAATTCGTTTTTTGACGAATTTACCTACGAGGTTATCCCACTATAAGACATTTTCCAACCTCGAACTCTACCTCACAGCTCAGTTCAACAATGTGACCCGTCCATCAAATGACCCGACTAATGGCGCCCTTCACATCGCAATTTATCAGATTCACTGTAACTTTTGACAACGGAAGTTATTTTCCCTGCTGCCTCAGGGGTTGTTTCCATACAGCCAACTACTGCTACAACAGACAAAGCTGAGGTGCACTAACACCACTTGTCGGGAATGATCCTCAAGAAGGAAACAAAAATATATGGAATTTTAGTGGTTGTTTTATTTGTGCATCGCATTACAGAGTTTGTAGCCTTACTGTTATTCCTTTTCTCCCTAACAAAGGCATTCTCAGGCGCCTGTTATTGCGTCTCTAGTAATAACGCAGTCACTGAATGTATTCAAAGCAAAAGGAGATCCGTGCCACTTTCTCCCAGACAGATGCACTAGTCATATCAACCTTCTTGTATACATTACCTTCTGGGTTGAAAATCTTTCAAAGTAATTAGCTTTTAAGAAGTAATAGCCCATGGAATTCAAATGAAGATGCGCATTGTGGTAAAACTTTTAGGTAAGTTTTCTTTATAAAAATACTGGGTAAAATGTAGTAGCACGTCAGTTTTCTATCAAAAAACGACATTTAATAGGCGTACTACTCCTAACTAATACCAAAATAAATACCTCCTTTTAGAACCCTATCATCTACGTGGCAAAATTCATTGTCCTCACCTCCACTTTATTGTCCCTACAGCCGAATTATCCTCCACTTGCAACTCTATGCATAGCATTCAATTAAACTCCACCATTTCCGTGGCTAACTAGAAGAAGACCAAAACTTTTGGCGTAGAAGAGTACACGCGATGTACGAGGCCATCTTAAACAAGATCTACGGACTTCTACAGCTTAACACTCTTCACGGCAATAAGAGCCTACACCTACAGAGCAACAATTCTGGCAAAATACCACCTCTTCTGCACTGCACATTTGGTCGCACAACAGCACAACTCAATGTGTTTCGTCCATTGTGTCAGGAGGTCACAAATTTCGCGTGGTCATCTCGATGGTATGACTTCCTGTAACTAATTGTCAATGCTGCAGTTTACAGCCATGTATCATAAAGTTTGTGTACGCGCTATCCTATCCGTGCAGTACTTTGTAATGTGGTCAGCAACATCTTTCCCTGGTTTTATTTTTTAACTTCACACCATGAAATGTCCATTGAACTAACCTGATGAATAAGACAAATCACCTTAAGGTGGGTATGCCACGCTCAGGAAGACCCTACGACCTTGGTAACACTTAACTCTCGTCGGCTGGGATTAATAATGACAAGAATTTCCAGTAATGTTTAAAACGAGTGATCAAAGGAGTTGATTTACATTAAATGAGATGAACAATTCTTGAAAGTCATGGATTGTGCGTTAGAAAGGCACCTTTTTGGATTATTCGGTCAATGACTTTTAATGAGAAGCGATTCTTGCATTCCAAAGCTGCTTTGATCCCGTCAAGCGATCCACTTGTTACCCATCTAACTTTTTGTCTTCAGAACACTATGCCTGTTCAGTGTGTAGCAGACTTTTGACGAGATTTCTACCGCGGACTGGTCACCTTCCAAAAGCCAAATAATTATGACTGAATTATGTCCACTCGATACGATTCACCGATGTGCAAGAATTAGTCGGAAGGAAATCCTATTCAATAAAAAAACAATGCAAGACTTAATACTACATACTGCAACAAACCCTTGAAAAGCCCTCATATCTCACTTTAGGCTGGTAGAGAGGAAGGAAGATATCCCCTCATCTCTAGCCTCATCTTCCGCATCGCTTTGGTGGATTCCTTCAAGTGAGGTCTTGACCTTACTGTCTAATAATCACATGGTCACATGTAAAGTAGGGCAGGCAGTGGGGCTGGATTTTTGGGTCCTAGAGACAAGAGAGCTTAGAAAAGTATAGTTCGCGACAAGCTTAGGCTTTGCTGGGAAAGGATTATAGGCTGTAACAGTGAGTGTTTCAACTGCAAAAATACTTAATCCTAATCCTAAAAAGCTGTCGACAAAGGATTCAATCCTCTATCGCACCACTTTCACAGTTAAGAGTAGGCAGGGTTGCCTTCATTCAGGCTAATCTCCCGTAACACTAATTGACATAGTTTCACACAGTCAATATGAATTCTTCGCAGATAATCCAGACCGTCCCGTTTATGTTGTGAACACTAGTATTAAAGAGTCTTCAAGACTCGGGCCTAAATGACTAGCCACCCAAAATCTCCATTATCACCCATTCACTTTGTTCTAAAACATCGTTCAACATCCACCCTGTCTCCGACATTAGTCAGAGGTACAAAGGACTACACGATGTTTAGCATCCTTCCCAACTCCACGTATCTAGGGTAATCTAAAACGCCCAAAATGGCAACCATTCCCGTCAAACTACGGCCACGGCAGGTGTCTGGTATGCGTCAATATTTGAACGCCCAAAGTTCGGATAGGTTTAAAAAGTGAATAAGGACTCCGCCAGGTTTTACCTAGTTTCAGGCTCATGATTGCCTCTCACACCTATCTTAACATACATCTGAATCTGTTCCACGACGCTGCTTAGCTGGACTGTCTGGGGTTTGGAAATTTATTTTACCAGTTCTCTACGCAAGACAAATGGTCACCTTATCAGACATTGCTTTTCTAGTCTATGCACATGTTCCCTGGTGGCTTATATCCACAATGTGTCAAAAAATGTGCGCTTATTTTACCGGAAACACGATAGCAAACAGCATGCCTTATCCCTCCCCTCCTCGCCTACTAGTAGAGGAGTCTGTAACAATTTCCTGTGAGTTTCCCGCTAAAGATTCGCGCAATCACCCAAAGCAAAGGAGAGGAGAGCTAATTTATCTGCATTTCTAAATACTCAGTCAGCCAAAAACTATAGGTGAGGCAAAATCCGAGGATCCAGAGCACATAACGACACATTTGGCACACTCAAAATACTGGAGAAATGTTTGATTATGGAAGCCATTGTATTCCATTTAAAGAATAAAAAGTAGAGGCCAAATATGATCAAGGGTGCCATAACTCCACGTGGACATTGCATCCAAATAAAATAAACGAGGACCCAACCAGGCAAAAATGGACCGACCTTAAACACGGATCTCAAGTATAGTTAATAGACTGTTGGATACATTAATGAACCACAGCGCTATTGTGGCCGTGAGTACCAGGCATTTTTGACTAGAATGAAGCGAAAACAGGAAAATATTTTGGATGGATGACAAGCCATTTGTTAGAACTCACTGCAGCACTTATCCACACCTTCTCACGCGTCTGCAACGATGAGAACCCGTGACTTTGATTAATCAATGCACAAAATAACGCCAGACATTCCAACTGCATTACTAGTTCCAAGGGGCCGAAGAAATACTGCACGAATATTAATTTGGAGGCAAGGCAAAAGCATTGACGTTGTGTTCGACAGCCCCTAGATCGTCAAATCAGTTCACGCGCCACAAGCCTCAGACGCTAGGGTGCAATTTTTGCAGAATCTATCCTTCGATCAAAATACTTTACACCACAACAACCAACTGTGACTTTCATCTGCGTTGCATCCAAACAAACGATAAATACACACAATAGTATATTCATTCCCGTTATAACACAAAAGTGAAAACTCTCGGTTGTATTAAAAGGCATGGGATTGGATAGAGAGTAGGTTGACGGAAGGAAATGAAATGGGAATGAGTTTATTCACAAACATCGTCATCCTACCATGCAGCCCAGGACTCAGTTACGGGCTCTATCCCGAGACCTCGAATGGCTGCGGCTTCGGGAGCGGCTAATACGGCGCTGATTGCCACCACCTCCGTGCCGATGACCAGGTCTTCGACTGCTACCGCTGCCGCGGCTACTGCCCTTCACGAAGGCCCAATCGACCAAGATCTTCTGCCCATGCAACTCACTACCATTCAAGGCCTGGAGGGCTGCATTGGCGTCTTTAAAAGTCTCATACTCAACTAGTGCATAACCCTTAAGGAAACCGGTACGTCGATCGAGATTAAGATGGATGTTCTTGATTTCTCCGTACTCACAGAACTTGTCTCGGATGTCTTCGTCTGTAGCCTCTTCGTGAACGTTGCGCACAAACACGATCCAACCCTCGATAGCTAAGGAAAGGGAATTACTGTGAGTTAAAAATTTACAGCGTTGAGGACCAGTTGCAGAGGCATTATCGTCCGTTTTAAGAGACTCGAATTCTTCCTCCTGAGCACGTGTGACAACCTCTAGAGGTACGAATAAGGAAAAATCAATATGGGAACAAAAATACCTCCTCGAAAACCACGACCCTTGCGTTTGGTCGCCTGCTCCTTTAGGCGCATGATTCCATCTGCAATACAAAAGGTCCCGTTAAAAAGCTGTTGATTAATGAAGGTTGAAGCAACTGCAATTGAGCAATACTTGAGAATACCTTATGAGAACTTGTAAATGGCACAAGACAAAAGCCACGCAGAATCGGGAGATCTAATACATATGCATTTTTAAAAATACCAAGTCTAGTAAGCGTATGAAACACCCAACCAGGGCATTTAGCTGAACAACTCAATGAAAATTCAATGCACATAAAATATTAGCAAAATGACATTTCGAGCTTCTTCAATAATAGATGTTCTTAAGTGTTCTGAGTTAAGTGTAGGTCCAGTTAACCATAAAATTGACTGATCGCCCCGCTCATGGATTCTAAACATATTACGGTTAAAATAAACGGTTTCATCCATCAAAACTGGAAACCAAATATTTGTGAACTACAGTCACAGATATAAAAATGGTTCAGTCAACGCATTTATCCGCATGATAAGCCACGATGCTAGGCCATTTAGAATGGAAAAAATTAATAGGTTATTAGAAACCAAGATTAACAGAACTGAGAAGTGCTCGCTGATTTTAATGATGGAAAAACAGACTCTAGTTAGTGGCTCAACGAAGATACCTCAATTCATATCAGCTGTCAATTAGAATTGAGTCAGTCCAATTGACGCGATAACATCTGCTACGATCAAATCATGGAATGACAATGTGAGGAGAATCACAATCATGGTGGAAATACACATTTTAGGGCGAATTGACCACTTACGATCACCCTCCGTATCATCCTCGAAGTCATTCCCACCATGAATTTCGACGACATCCGCCATCTCAATAAAGCCAGGACTAAATACCAAAACTAGTGGGGAAGTGATCCAATCATAATTGCGCAAATCAGTTCAAAAAGTATGACAGTCTCATTAGTCTGAATTCAAATGTTTGTGGTTAATCCAACATTCATTTTTAAATATATATATTTATCCCAATTAACACAGATATTTTTATTGCAAGCCAAAGGCTGTGGTCTTTTAGGAAAAAAGCCAATTCAAATAGTCTCAAAAGTAATTATTTGCTTCTGTTTTATTTAAGATGTTTTTTACGTATCAATCTCCAAATTAGTTGATTGGCCGATCAAACCTAAAAGCTAATTCAGAACTAAATCAGTTTCCCCTTAAACTCTTAAGCATGGTTGGCATTGGCGGTAATGGCACATCCATATTATCTGGTCACGTACTCAGGATTTTAGACCGGATGTGCCTTAACTACATCCTTTAATAAGGTACTGAAGACCTGATTCGGTCTAGAGTCAAAACGTACTATTGCAAATGACCATGCTTTGGCAGGCATAGACACCAACTATTAACAAGAGGTATTTCACGATTCCATTTTGACTCATAAAGATAACACTAATCGTTTGATTGGGCAATGTGGAGTAAAGTTCATTTTATTTCTCAAAAATCATTCAAGACATCTTTTATGAATGTACCATTGCAACTTGAGACTTTTCTGAGGATGATTGGAAATATCGTTCTCTGGCCAAATATGTGTTCTACATCTAGTGGGACTTGGGGATACAGCATGGTCCAGAGACCGCCCCACCCAAAGGAAGTGCAATAGAGGACACCCAAAGTGGTCCCTTTTAGCAAAACCGAGAGTTAAGTGGACAACTTATTACGATACCTCTCACACAAACCACGTGGCTTTTCGGGCGCTACCTCATAAAACATTGCTAGCTTGCAAACTTCCCATTCTCCGTAATATGACCCATGCCGGCCATTAATCTTCCCAATCCAGGCATCTATAGCCGGATTTATAAGAGAACATCAAAGTAAATTAATACGTGAACTTTATGCAGTGTGTGGTACAACGGTTACATGTTTGATTCCATTCTCTGCAATAGGGTGGTAATACTAGAGTGCATCGCAATACCAATTTCGCAATTATCAACTCCTTCCAGACGCGATTTGTCCATAAACACTAACCTAGCTAAACTTGAGGGAGTCTCAGAATGGCGCATTCCCATGTTCTCACTTACCAGAATCGACATTCCCAAGCATTTTCCATGAAATTCCACACTAAATCCCAATTCATTTTTTGAGACTTATGACGTCAGCCCAGTGACGGAAGGTACCGCCCTCGCTCATGACTATCCAAAAGTGATTGCGACTTTTTGTATACTTTGTCGGTGAAGAGCACGTAAAAGCACACGCATTTATTGGTGCTTGATAGGAAATGAATCTGGATGGTAAAAAACGAAAACAACTATGACAATCATTCTTGCAGGTACAAAGGCTGAAGATTGCACAAATTGTCCACTAGAGGAGATTGTTTCCAAAATGCTTTCATCGCGATCGCTTGATTCTAACTCAAAAAGTGGACGCATGCAAGTCCCTGAATGCACACCACTCCAAGCAACATGAAGCACAGCTGGATGAAGGACTCCCTTAAAATGAAGCAACAAAGCATAATTAAGCATTTGGGTACCAATAACTACCATTTTAACACCATCCAAAACGGTATCTTCCTTCAAAATTTGTCCCAGTGATTTTTAAGCAGTCAAACGTTGAAAATGATTTCGGAGAGGACTGGGGAGTACATTTTATACAGGCCTAGCTTTCGTGATCAGGATTGGAATCGGCAATAAAACACTTGTTTGAGGAGATAAAATCACATTACTTCTACAAATTACTCGTGTGATTATGAAGTCGTAAACCAGATGGACGCATCTAGCCACGCAGGTCACATCAAGCTCTAGGAATTTCGACGCTCGAAAACCCGAGTCACCTCCCCTCTCAATCTTGACAACCACGGCTCAATGGCCATTTACAAGCAAATGTGAGTGGGTATTTACTGACATCGTTTAGCACCATAACAGGCGACACGTCTTTAAAAAATTGTACACGGTTCATTTTCGCATAAATTCAGGGTAAACGCATGGGAATCTTACATATAAGTAGTTAAAGTCGCCATGTTTGTTCCTCGAAACTAACAAATTGTAAAAGATTTAAGTGTTCCACTAATTTCGCTCGTTTGTGTAAAGGGAGGGCAAAGGTCTGTACTGAGGGTTTGGATGGTAGGCTAGATTAAATTGAATAAGGATTTTTTAAATTTACACATCACCTACCTTGGTGTCTTTTCTTGCAAAAAAGTGGGAAGTAAAGAGACCAGCGCGATGTACAGAAACCCACCGGCCGTAAAAGGCAGCAATAACATCCAATCTACGAGGAAAGCAGAACCATTTTAACCATTAGCAATACATAAAACAGCCGCATAAATTTAAATAATGATTGGGTCCCCGTGAAGACTACCAAATCTTGTAACATACTTGAAAAGGGCCTCAGAATATTTCGCTTTAGTCTTGGACTTAGCTCACAATGATGTTTTGATGGAATTTTTGGACTTGCATGACTTCGTGCATATGAAAGTTACTAAAACAAAAGTCCATAAATTCCGTGACAGAAGCCACAAATAATTCATTCATTCATTCTCATAAATGATTCTACAGGGCATGCATTTTGCAATAATAGGTGACCCAGGAATTAGCAGAAAAAAATGACATCGACCACAGTCGTACTCGCCAAACACATTTGTTGTCGAAACACCAAACGTTGCCGTGTGACTGCAAAAAAACGACGAAGCCGAATTCCATAATGAAAGGCACACAAAGTTATTTGGAGGTGGTGATTTATTGTAAACACGCGGCGTCTGTGAAGGATTTGAACTACCGTTGATTGTACACAGTCTAGGTTCAACAATTGCCTTGGGGGAACCGACACTACTTGTGGCACAGTGGATGAATCAATGCGATAGGCCTTGCCTGCTGTCACCTTTGATGAAGAAAGACACAGAGCTTGGATGCTAGCAGAATTAACTAAGGTCAGGCGATCTTAACTGTAAAAGATCATTTTGATTACGGCGAACCAGATGCTGCACTGGGAGCGAACAAAGCAAGCTTTCGCCATCCAAATTAGAGCAGGAATAATCGCTAAGATGCGTGCATTAATCCGCTGTCAAATGATAAAGGGGAGCCAGCATGGATTGTTGAATCAGATTTTGAAGCATGTCCTTCATTTAAAAAGGATCAAGTATCGCCTCTGATTTACGGAACTTCCAGTATGTTTCAAAATCATATAAACTTGGACACTGATGGCTCTGCTGCCAACAAGAGCAAGAAAGGGAGCGAACTTGCTGCCTGCATATTTGCATAATGAAGCCGAATATTCAATTGTGTATAGTGCTGAAGATAAACACAGAACTCTACCAAGCATCGTCAGCTAATTCAAGCCCTAGGAACCATTATAAGTGTTACCCATAAGCACGTGCAACGGTGATTGTGGCTCGTAGTTTGTTAAATCAGAAGGAATTGACAGTAAGGAATGCCGAGAAAATTTCACGCATAATTTTGACAAGGCAGATACAAAAATGTATGTGGTAAATCGTATTTCAGTACTAATAGGAGTGCGTTTTCCGATTTACTAAATGTCAAAAAGTGTTAACAGACATGAAGGCGATTTACGAAAACTTTAACCGAAAATAACTGCACAAATGTTTTAAACGCGAACTGCCAAGGAAAGCGAATGGTGTTTTGACTTCATGTGGCCAAATGTCCCAGAGGTTTAACGAAAAATCGTGTCCCAATATCACCCGGAACTTAAACTACGTTTTTGTTAAAATCCACTTCATATTGTCATTTTAATCAACCTTAATGGAATAATTGCCATTCATTTCCAATGAAGACAACGATGGATAGTGTGATTTCCACTGTAACACAAACCGACGGAAACAGAAACCACTATGTCAAAGTCGACTTATTTGTGGAAGAGTCACTCGATTTAATGAATGATTAAGTAGTGATAGGATCACTCAAATGTGAAATGCGGGCAGAACACATACCCTCATCATCTACTTGTTTCGAGCACCTACGGTTAATAGGCCATGACTCTTCGAGCTGAAGCACTAAACACTTTTCCCTCAGTATGGATTAGAAACCCACATTTTCCAAGCGAATAATTTGTTTCATTACGTGTGTTGATAATCAGTTCGGACCCAAGAGTAGAGACAAACGCATAGTGTTTTACCCTAGACGGATGGAAGGAGTATTTAATTCACTACGGTGAGTGAGAATACAGACATGTTCATAAATTCTATGCTAGAATTTTCGTTCTTTTTTTATTAATTCGGGGCAGTACAGTGCTACTAATTACTTAGAGACTAGAGGACTATGGGGATTTGGTTGTAAAAAGCTTTACATAGGCAACAAAAAGGGCCCTTTGCTAAACTAGGCACCACTGGGTGTTGGTCAAACACAAAGCCGAGTGAACAAGGAGATGTCCTGACAGTGGACTTGGAGGTGCAACGCTCGCACTGTTTGTGTTTGCCCACAAATATTTACACCATTGTTCTACTGGCCCATACCCTTACGAAGACAGATGAAGCGGTAAATAGTCAGATGAAGAAGAATAAGCAAACGACAAAACAAGTAATTTTTAGGTCTACAAATGCAAATACCAATCCTCAACTGACAATAAAAGCAAATATTTTCAAAATGTCTTATTACGTTTATTTAATTCACTCTATAAAACTTGCAGTCAGTAATAAGTTAACGTCGTTTCTTAGTTCATACATCTTATAAGGATAGAAAACTATCCGATGGTTCACTGCATCACCATTCCGGCCAGGAAGAAATTTAAGAAACTAGCTCCATTAATTTGGAACAAAATTGCGTTAAACAGCAGTGCCGTGACCGAAACACTAAAGTGTTGTGTTTGGCATATTCTACAAGGTCAAACAAACAGGAATTCTGAAGAAATCACGTCAATCAAGCTCCCTTGGATAACCAACTCACGTTGGTGATATAAAGTGGCAGAATAAAGTGTATACCTTAAATACACCCGGACACACCTTGATTTGTTATAACAGGTTTGCCCTGGCCCCAAGGCTTCAAAACTTTGCAGGTCACATGGTTCAAGTCAATCAAGTTAACCTGAAAACTACAGGCGATCGCATCGTAACGGAGAATAAGTGAAAAGAATTATGCTGCACAGGAATATTTAGCAGACGACGTTCAAAAAAGGGCGGTAGGAAAGCTATCGCAACACTTCACTTCTAAGCTAAGAGTCTGCGCTCCAGGGTAGTGAGCTAAAACCAGCCCTAAGGGACTATAGTTATTTGAAACAGTCGTATGATTTTTTCACGTCAAAAGGTGTAAAAACCTAGATGCATACTAGAGAAGATCAAATTAATTAGTTAGTGTCACCTACCTTTAAACTTCCAACGAAAAATGGCTAATGTGTACGTTCCAATTAGACACGTCGAAGCCGTCAAAAGCTGAAACAATGTAGAGAATTACGTACTTAATTTATTCATTAGAATCCATAGGGATTACGCGAAACCATAGGCTAGTCTAACGGCTGACGATAACATGAGGTTGTTTGTACAAATAAGTTAGGATGTTAAGCTTTAAAGTCCGCTTGAAGGCTTTAAGATAGGTTGCATTTCAAAGCCTACCATTAAGTGAAGTATGCATTCGATTTCACTTTTGACTAGTGTAAACACAAAAAAAAGGTACTACAGATTGCATACGGGGCAAGAATGGCTTAGTTTATTTTGACCCCTATCGACAGGTCTAGGTTCGTGAGAATTTGAGATAAATATTAAAAAACAGACTCTCACCTGTGCTTTAATGGCACCCCGTCGAGAAAATCCACTCCGAAGCAGAATGATGAAATCAGATATTTCGTGGGGAATCTCGTGAATTAGTAGGCACGTCGTAGCAATCAGCCCACACTGAAATGCAAAAAAAAGGAAAATAATAAAATCCCAGGATATTTTAATGGGCAGTTTTTGTTAAATCATACATGGAATATCGTAGCAGCAGATGAGATACATGCAACAATGTCAAAACACATGACAAGCTAATTAGAATGCAAGACTGGGTTTGCCATAAGTATTATTCCGACTTCTTCAAATGCAACCTCCTGATTAAGACAAAATTTTACTTGCTGACGGCATTAATCAAATTCGTATCTATCTTGGAGGTGGATCTTTCGAAATTATCTCTTTAGTTCAAATTATTACAGACAGTCTTGAATATAGTTTCCTCATACGTGATTCAAAAGCGTTTTGTATAATGTTTAAGAGATCGTGTTGCTAATGTATTGCGGAATTAATAAAACATAGCTACCTTTATGTCAGAATCGTCTAATTAGAGTTAAAAAAAATATCAAGACATTGCAGAATTTTACATATGGTAACTAATCTAGACAGCGTCTTACGCGAATTGAAACGGAATAACTAGCTCCCAATGAAAGCCCGTGAGAAAAGTTATCAATTGAATTTGCAAGAAGATTTAAATATCCAACGGCCTAAACCATTAAATAAGAATTGGCCAAACCCGTGGAACAGAGAAACCAACTCCCGGTCTTACTCGAGGAGAATCCATAATTTGTAAATCATTTGATGATTTGCCAGTTTTCGAAAGCTTTACGAATAGGTAACCTTCTTTAAGGTACTGTATACCTGCAGGTTCTCGTAAAAGCCAGCGACCATTTCTGTTGCAAAAAATACCAAAATACCAGTGAGGATTGCAAGAGCCCATGCACTGCTGCTGAGTAAAAGGCTGTCAACAGATTCTGGAAGTAAATGGAGGAAGACTTCACCCAAAAGGCTGCCAGTAGCAAAGCACAGCCACCGGTTTAACACTATTTCCAAAGTTGATATAGAATCCCCACAATTCATACCAATTTCATTCAAGCTAAGTTTGTTTGGAGCTTCTAAAATGAGTGCGGGAAAAATGCCACTGCTTCCGACTGCCATAGCCGATAAGGTAGATAATATCGCCTCGAAGAAGTTCGGAAGCCCAACCATTTCAACGTTCCCGAACTTTGAGGAACATGTAACCTTGAGTAAGTGTTGAGACAATTGAAATGAGTACTATAAACAATTTCATTATTTCTCATATTATTTCAAAATATTTCTCTTCAAATCGTTGCGTAAATGTCGCATACTATCGTGTTGTGTTACTAATAGTGTGAGGTAAACGTATGTGCTTCCTTTTTTTAGAATATTATAGATGTTCTTCTCTCCACCCAAGTTAAAAACAAGTTGCATATTATAAGCACAGTCATGGGAAAAGTGAACACAATGATGGCATATTTGTGATTCGGTTACCTTTAACCGACTAGTGTTTTTCAACCCTTAGGTAGTTGTGCGCGATATCCATCTTTCCTACATTAGATTTAATAACTACAGCAATTTCTAGATAACGACTAGTATAATGCATATTTTTTTTCTAGATTGCCAACCTAAAAAACACTCCTAAGCCCCCCAAAACGACGCACTAGGCACATTTTGTACACTACTGGCAGTAGTTTAAACACCTGCTCGATTCTTTACTCGAATTATAATTCCTGTGGTTCTAAAAATACAGTCGATAATCCACAACGTCCTAATAATTTCCTGAAGATGAGAGAAGACCTTCTACCCTGGCACAAAATTTGTATTTGCCATACAGCAAAGCTTTAAGCTATTAGCATGGTCCCGAGGCCAAGCCACCCAAAGAAGTTACTACAGTAGAGCCTCATATTGTTTCCTTTACTAACAGTAAGAGTGAAACAACCAACAAATTACAGAGCATATTGGCTTTCTACTTCTACTCTTTCTACATATACATTTCCGCGAGCTAATTTTACCTGCGATATCATAGAACACACAAGCATCTAAAATATCAATAACGTCTCTCATGTAACTGTAGCACCCTAAGACTTCTCTGGACGCGAAAGAAAGCGTAATAGTATGACCGAATATGTACTACCGACGCAGGGAATGGCTGGGAGGCTACCGGCATGGACCGAAGTCCGTGTCACTGGGATTGACTACAACGGCTGCACCCTTAAGTGCCCGCGTAACAAAAATGAAGTTGAACAAACAATCAAAATACCACATAACAACTTCATTCAAACCGTAGTCGCGCCACCAGTTTCTCCCATATTCCAAATACTTGTATTGATAAGCTTTGCCTGTAGAGATCATGAAGCATTTCCGACACCCTTATACTGGGAGTAGAGGTTCCAGGGGAATAGAACCAATCTCCATGTTGATCGATAGTGTGCCCTCGGTCGTGAGGTTCATCTTGAGAGCTTGTGCCCATAGGAACTGTTCAAAAAGTGTGGCACTTTGGATTTCCCACGAGCTTGTAGTAGGGCCCAGCAGTATGCTGGAGGATACATTACTGTAGCGCCCCGAGACTCCCTGAAGACGAAAGAAGACACAGCGCTCGGGCAGAATATATTCAGCGCAGAGAAGGCGTCTGGGCTATTGGCATGGCCCGAAAGGCCAGCCCACCCAACGAAGTACGAGAGGGCTAATTCAAAGTACAAAAGCGGCGCCTCACCAATACCGAGGGATAGACCACTATCGTATTACATTACTAACACACAGAAGAGTTGAGTGGATAATGGCATGGCTCGAAAGCCAAGGCACCTCGTCGGAGCACGATCCACGGGGACCAACGCGCCAGCGCAGTCAAACCTAGAAATAAAGTATCCAGGCATTACACAACTATGCACTGCAGAACCTCCCGTAGATACCCCTTATTGGCCGGAAAACAGACTGCATGATGTAGTCATATCGCAGCAGATCTGATTGAAAATGACTTCTGTACCAAATTCATAAGAGGACAATAAGGCCAGCAACTCACAACATCGTTAATCTCAAATTGAAACCCTCACAAAAGCTTAAATATAGTTTGGCTAAAGGGAACTAAGATGTGATACCCAAAAGCGCTAGCAGTCTTCGACCAAGCTTTAACTCCCAGCCTCGATTACAATTAGAACTCCGTTACCAAATCGGAAGCGGAATGTCAAGGTGCGGAGCAGGTGCTCGGTTACGCATATTTTAAAGGAGAATCTACCCACTCTACCAAAGAGCGGTTTCAGGTGGCTCAATTATTGACCAGAAGACAAAGAAACCTGTTCTATACACAGCCCCAAATAGATCATCCCCAAACTAAACTAGCCTATAGCAGCAAAAATTTAGAGGACAATTGAAGAACAGAGTGATTTTGAATTAGTTACGATATGCCACCAAAAATATGAAAAAAGAACGCAAATTACAGTGCCAGGGTCAAATAGGAGCAGTGCTTCGTCCATATACACGCATGAAGTATTTACGAAGAATAACCATCCAGGTCACACCAAACAACCTAATGAGTACTAAATGGGACAACTCAAATCTTCTGATGTATGAAGGTAGAGATTCAACCAATTTATGCTCAGTAAAAAAATAATTGAAAATGAATATCTTAAGCCGAAATACTGATCTTCCCAGATCACGCCCAAATTAGTTCTTTATTTTCACAAAAGTTATCTGCAAAGAAAAGCCAAAAAACATGTACAAAATGAAATCACTCATCTTCGGGATGTTTTATTAACCCTTTACTAATCAAATCAGGAATCTCAACTGCAAGCCATGGACCGAGACCCAGCGCAAGAGCATGTGCAATACCAAATTTGGGGACATTTCGAGTCCATAAGGGTTTGAAGTGATCAGTGAGGCAAATTTTTCCACCACGATACATCTTCGCCGTTTTCCCATCCAATTCCGGTAGCATTATCTCTGGGTTGGATGCGGGATAAGAAACAGGAATATCGAAGCAAACATCGAATTCATATTTTCTCATTTCATGAATATACCTAAAGTTAAAGGCACTGATAAGAAAAATTAGCTGCTCACACACCAACATTTTCCTGTCCACCTCGTCCCATTTGAGTTGGATTCAATTTGGAACCAATGATTGTCATTTTCCTTATTATGTTCCACATATTTTATTAAAGAAGTATATTCCTCCTTTAAACGTGTAACCCAATCATCTCCATCTCGTGGACCAGCCCTTGTCTTGAGAAGGGGAATAGCAGCTAGTGTCCTCTTCAAACCCTCACCCGACATCCAGCAAAGGAAACACGTTACGACAATTATTGGCTGAGAAAAAGTACTTCAATAAAGTCGCCGACAATTAAGTGCATAGGAACACACAGAAAGTGTAAATCAAAGTAAGATTTATGTGCCAATTAGGCCTTTTAAAATTAACATATCCACTAAAACTTGTAAATCTACAGATCCACAGTCAGGAGGATTGCGCGTGAAGAATTATATAAAGAGAATAGAGCTAAACAAGGTTAAGTGCATTGTAAATTAGACTGTGTTATCCTATATTTACTCCAAACCTTGGGCAGATTAGGTGATAAAAGGGCTGCATCCCCAGTATCTAAGCCTTGGAGACTTACCGGTCACCAATTTTCACGGAGGATCAGGAATCGACAACTCTTTGGGAATCAGTGACGTTTACCCAGCCTCGAGGTTGGCACTAAGATTCAATATAAATCGCCGGGCCGATTGAAGTCCAGATTTCTAATTTTCAGTTTGTATCAACATAGAAACCCTACATACCCTATGTTGGTTTGCTAAGGCTCGACTTTTAGAAGCCAACTCTGTGTCTTGGCCATTGTGCAATTGCCAAGTTGGTTGGTCTCTGGGCTATGCGAGAATCCTTAGGGCCTTCTGTGTTGAACATTTACATTTTACCCAAATATGTGGTGTCCTATTGTCTTCAAATAGGTCACAGTGCGCTTCTTTGTTGGAAACTTTAAGCAAACCCGACCCTAAAGGATATCTCTCCTGATTTCTACTGCTAGGTGACACACTTAACAGGGTGGTAAAAGTGAACATGCCACGATAGAGTAATCAGTGCCGACCCAAAAAAGATGGGCTGGGAGTGACAGCTACCTTATTAGCTACCTTAATCTCGTGTTCGCAGGTTTAGCCATTAACAAGAGACGACACTATCCGTGCCCCACTTAGAAAGGTTTCGGTATGGAGTCTCCCAAAGCACCTGCAAGAAGGCATCAATAAAAGGAACTTTCGATCCCCCTCTTTGGCCCTCTTTTAGCTGGATAGAACCCATAGAGATTTGAATGCACAGTGCTGAAGTAAGAATAAATTACCGGGTAGGAACAGACCCAAAACTATACCGAAAAATGGAGTGATGTCTAGCACAATCGAATGTCCCTGAATTCCGTTCTTATACAGAACGAAATTTCAAATCCAGCAGATTTGCTATGAAATGTTTGTGGCATTGTAGTTAATTATCTTCTCAGTTGTATGCGAATTCGATCACCATCACGATTGCCTCGTGGATGTTATCTTTCAGCAATGATTGCACTGTGATGGCTGACACGGAAGGTTTAACAAAAGAACCACCGCAGATGACACATAAAAGACGAAAGGGCTGTTGTTTAGCCCCAATTCGGCATGAGACTTCTTTGCGTCTTAACCAGTGCTCATTCGAGGGGTGAGCTGGCGTCCAGATCATGCTAGTATGACCAAGTACTACTTCAAACGGAGTATGTATATTCCACCTTAGTATTATGTCATCCATCGTTCTCAGGGAAGTCTGGGGAGATATACTACTTAACATAACCTGGCAAATACGTATCAGTTTGCCATATTTTTTAGCTTTTTTGTACAGCCACGCAGAGGTTCCTGTCCCTGAGGTCTGTAATTTCGCACTGCGGCTTGGTGTGCGTAGTATTTATTTACTTCGTGGTGCACTTATCTGATACTTTGTTCATATTTCTGGATATTTGAATCAGCGTAAGGGTATAGGCACCCTATGCGGCATAGGCTAAACTACTTTGCAAGTCACTGATGCAAGTTCTATCATGATGATTAGGTTTTTACAGCTAAGAGGACTTTGGGTGACATATTGTCAAAATGTGCAACTTCAATACAATTTAAACCCTTGTGCTGCGTCCCGAGATCTTCCTGAAGACGAGAGAAGACATAATACTCGATTAGAATATATACATATATATATTGATCACAGAGAAGGTATTTGGGCTAACTGCAAGGCCTGAAGGCCAGCCCACTCGGTGTGGTACAAAAGCCAAGTCAAAAGTGGCTACTCTCCAATACCGGGAGATAAACAACCATTGTATTAAGTAGCCCCTCCCTCTTCTAAGCTTCGTCTCCGGCTCTTCCCTTGGTTAACCTCCCCCGTCGGCCACCATAACGTAGTTGGTGCTGTAAAGAAACACCCGCGACCAGCCGTGTCAGTCAACAAATTTCCATGCAACTGAGGAGATACTTGACCTCAACGTCACTAATCCCTCTTGGTAATTTAATTGGTTATGGGATTTCGTCCGGTTTGGGAATTTGATTTGGGTAGATGTAGGCAAACTGGCCTAGAAGCAGATTTGTGAAAGAGGGACGGGATTTAACACAGGTCCTTGGAGAAAGGGTTTCGAGTCTGTTCCTCCTTGCCACGTTGTTCCCACTTTAGAGCTGCCCGTGCCCTACTCAGCTAATAAGAAATAAAACAAACAACAACAATCACCATATTACGGTTAAGCTTCAGCTAATTGTTGAATCTGTACGACTACATGTGCGCGGCATTGAATAAATAAAAGCCAAGGCGCAACTTGTGTGTGGATCGTGCAGGTTTTTTCTACTCATAAGTCTAGTCTAGCTGGAATGCGAGTATGGTAGTTATACTTCATTCGCTCTCATATTTTCTGTCATTAATTTGTGCTGATTGCGTGCTATTTTTTAAGCTTCATGGAACTATTACGACACAGCTGTTGTCCTTTTTTTGCTAGTCAGCTGTCACGGTTAGCGGTATTTAATAATTTTAGTGAATTTTTTTAGAGGACACTTGTTTTCTTTAACGAATCCTGAAGAGTTTTTACTAATCATATAGAGGGAGCCAACTTCGATTTGTTCATATGTGAGCACGGGCTGTGCTTTGATCTTGCAGATGTCGATCGAGTTGGAATCCGCTGAGTAGTGTTTTCACATTTTCTAGTGGTTTTTAGTGTTGTTCGGCTTATTGAACAGTATTTAAAGGAGAATAATCTACTGCGTACCTTGCAAGTACTACAGGTCGGTGATCTGAAGTTAATTTATTTTCAGACAGGAAGAAACTGGTGTCACACTTAACACTGTCGATTCTGTTGAAAGTTTTATGAATGAAATCACAAGTGGTCATTGGGATACTGTTCTCAAGGTTGTACAAAATTTGAAGCTCTCAGACCACAAACTTATGGACCTCTACGAACAGGTGCATTCTTCAAATCTGCATTTTGTATTATTGTTTCCGCTTAAAGATTGTCATCGAGCTGGTAGAACTGCGAGAATTAGGCGCAGCTCGAACTCTTCTCCGTCAAACAGATCCCATGGTCCTACTCAAACAGAATCACCCGGACCGCTACCTGCATTTGGAAAACCTCTTGGCCCGATCCTACTTTGATCCGCGTGAGGCTTATCTCGAAGGGCAGTCCCGTGAAAAACGGCGTCAGGCGATTGCCTCCGCGCTATCTGGTGAGGTTAGCGTAGTACCACCCTCAAGACTGCTGGCCCTGTTGAGTCAGGCGCTGAAGTGGCAGCAGCATCAAGGTCTCCTTCCCCCTGGAACGGCCATCGACGTCTTCCGCGGTAAGGCAGCTGTTCGTGAGCAGGAGGAAGAGAAGCCACCCACGCAGCTTTCGGCGACAATTAAGGTTTGCTTTACCACCTACCCAAGATCAATTAATGAAACGGTTTGTTTAGTTGGGTCAAAAGACACATGTTGAGTGCGCAAAGTTCAGTCCGGATGGGCAGTATCTAGTGACAGGATCTGTGGATGGTTTTATTGAAGTGTGGAATTTCATCACGGGCAAGTTGAGAAAGGATCTTAAGTATCAAGCGCAGGTACGTCCATTTTGTTTAGTATTTTGCTGTTTGTTTATCTGGCGGACATCTGCTGTAACATTTTTCGTTCTTTTATGGATGATTTTAAGCACACGTACATTGTTCACTGCATCCTGAATTATACAGTTTTAGTAAGTCTAGCATTGAAAGGTCAAGTTTATGAAGTTGAGATAAGCACAGTGAGGTAGATGCACGGAGTATTTATTTAAAACCGCAACCCACAGGAAAGTTTTTAGCAACTTGAAAATGACCTGTAGATCTAGCAACACTTACATTTATTCATTTAGCAAAAGTGATATCGCATCACCATCGCACCTCAGGGCACAAAACGAGATGGTTTATTAGCTGGATTCACTGCCACTATTTGTTTATTCGCCGACATGGACCGGTAGTTCTAAGTAGCCCTTGAAAATGAGGCTATACAAGTTGTATTTTCATATCAAACGCTGTCGACTGCTTCTTTTCTATTTTAACACTTTTTATGCTCCTTTAACAATAGCATTGCGTGATGGTTAACTGAGCGATTCCGTGCTTATTTCAACTCGGAGTCTATGGGATGAAGTAGCTTGATTTACTCACTCCTCGGAACTAGGACAGTATCTTTTTACAACGAGTGATTCTAATAAGAACAGGTTTCGGATGGACTATCAGAACGAGGTTTCACGATGTATTGTTTTTGCGAAACACGAGAAACGAACTGAACTGTTTTGTTGTTATAATACGCACGTAGACAGCGAGCTCCACCGAGTTAAATGTCTATAATATGTTTTAACTATTTAGGAGGTTGGGGTGGTTTTTCTGAAGGAAGTGTTCTACGATAGACTGTGCTGCTATGCCGTGCCAGTGCCCACAAAGTCTAATGGGTGAAACACTTTGTTTGAAACTCAAACACATTTATTTTCAATTATTTACTAGGTCTTTGGAACTTAGAGCAAAGGTACTAAATGGAGCATCAAAACGGCGCTTCACCGTAAATTATGGCCTGACAATAAAATGACCAGTCTGTGTTGTTTGTTATAGGAGAACTTTATGATGATGGACGCAGCGGTGCTGTGTCTGGCCTTCAGCCGCGACTCCGAACTGCTGGCCTCGGGCTCACTGGACGGCAAGGTGAAAGTGTGGCGCATTCAATCGGGTCAGTGTCTCCGACGTTTTGAGAAAGCTCATACGAAGGGTGTCACCGCTGCCCACTTCTCCATGGACAATGTCCACCTCCTCACTGCTAGTTACGATCACACCATCCGGTCAGTTTACTGGGTGTTTCTGGTCTGGTGCACTAGCTGCAATATCTGATTCTAGGTCTCACTGTATACTCCCATCATAATTACTGAACGTGGCTTTTATTTAAGTTGAATTGAACTTTTCCTAGTAGTTTTACCACCGTCTCTCTTCTTTCTGTGTTCCTGAAAATGAAATATTTAGTCTTGGTTGTCTTATCACCTTGAGCAAATTGCGGCATTTGCACCTAACAATAGGGCTAGAGTAAGCCTTGCTCTTGCTTTAGCTGCACTGGCGGATTTTCGGTCAGTACAGTATCCAATCGAAGTTAGTTTTACTTTTTTTCTCAAGCAAATTGTCCAGTTACCAAACGCTCACTCCTAAAACACTGGTGCGAGCCAATGTTAGCGATATATATTAAATTTAGCTTGTCCATTAGTTGGACTGTCCGATTAGCTGACTCATTTTTACTGCTTTGATCCCCCATTCGGCCAATACAGTGCATGAATGGATAATCGGTTATCTGCACTGCTTTACTGGCCATTTCACTTGTAAAATTTATAGTGTAGGTGTGAGTAATGTCTTAGTGAGTAGACAGATAATTATCCAATTCACTCGGAAAGTTGTACTTCTCATCAGATAACTATGTGAAGTGTGCATTTTTGAACCAAGTGTTTACATTGTTATTGTCCTGAAAAAATACAATGTTTTGCGCCCCAAATGTCAACACCGACCAACGTTTATCATGGGTTAAAGCTAATTTACGGTCGAGTAATGTACAAGATGCGTTGCTGGATTCTTGGCCACATTTTGGCACGCCCCTAGCATTCCATTTGGCCATTAAACATCTGCTCATGATAGTAAATTTCTGTTTGTATCCTGGGCGAATCTTGATGCGATTACTCAACACTTGAGACTAAGATATTGATACGGACCATTGCTGTCCATCTTTCAAGGTAGACATGTTTTATCAGCGCATTTGCGCCCTTGTTTGATTAGTGACCTTATTTCAGCATGCTTTTTTATCGCTCCGTTCAGCTTGTACAATGGCTGAATTGATGGCCAATCCTATGGACTACCTTAAGGATTGTACCCGAAATCGTATTCACGATTTTCTGTTAATTTGTCACTAAATATAAAAACGTCCGATGCGTTAGAGTTGTCACGTAGTTTGATTAAGCCCCTGTTCTGTGCTCCAAGCGTTTCGAACTCTTCTCCATTACATTTGCACCTGCCTATTCCCCATACCTTCTGCGTCCGAATTCATGTTGGAGGTAAAAATGACAACGCGTTTGTTTGAGATGCCTGAAACCCCAGAAAACGTTCTCGTTTGTTTTTCCAGGAGTTTCCATTTCCATGGATATCTTCCGAACATCCTAGAGCGTCGCGTTCTTACTCAGTCCCTCTTGAATGGCTGATATCACGTATGGACGCGCTTTGAGCACACTAACGCCCACTATAATAAGGCTAAGATAGGGATGTTACTATAAGTACACGTGACTGAAACAGCCTAGTGACGACTCAGGTAGTCCCCAATGTCCAACTTCCGGGCTCGTACACATTTGTCTTACCCGCTTTGCTTACCAATACATATCGGTGGTGAAGCGATCTGCATTGAAGTCTTACTTGTTGATTGCGGGCTTCAAGCTCATGCACATAGAGATCCAGCCCATAAAAATGCCTACACTTGGTCTGTTGTAAACCATTAACAAGGTAGAAATAATTTGGAATGATTACAATGAAATGACATTAAAGATGCATTCTAAGTGGGATGCCTGAGAAATGTCGACCATTAGACTGGAAATTTAGTTCCCATTGATAGCTGTTATGATTTGCTTTAAGGATTCATGGGATGAAGTCTGGTAACCTACTGAAGGAGTTCGTGGGTCACACGGGCTTTGTCAACGACGTAGTCTTCAGCCCTGACGGTCGTCACGTGCTCAGCGGCAGTGCGGATGGGTCGGTCCGCATCTGGTCCACGCGCACCGCTGAGTGTGTGAGCAATTGCAAGGTGAGTGCTCTGGATTTCTCATTTGGTAAAGTTTGTCCCTTAGATCCACATCTGTGGCCTTGGCGATTGAACTGGTTTATTCATTACTGCTCTTCACAAATGGAGGCGTTGCTCTACCCCTCTGATTTAACGTCCCCAACTGGGAAATGATAGTAATGATCCTTAATCACACTAGCCCATGTCAAAGGAAATAGAATAGTCTGCTTACTTTTTAGAAGGGGTTATTTTAAAGTACATCTTGCGTTTAAATGCTTCAGTATTTCATCAATTAACACTGAAGGAACTTCACCTACCTCAGTGCCGCCGAAGCAAGCCAGCGGCTTCTAGTTTTGCTTACTCTGATATTAGCCACTTCGTGAAAACTAGCTTGATAAAGGAAAAGTAACATTTGATGGGTTCGAAGTAAAGGTACTTCATCTCATTCCGCTACTGTTACCTTTCTCTCTATTAGGTGGTTGCGCATACAAATGTGATCTCGTTTTTATTCATTCATACTATTTTTTTGTTCTTGAATACGATAAATTAGATGCTTTTAAGAAAAAAATATGCAATTTTTTTTGTTTATCAAACCTATCACATTGAAGGTGCCGACTTATAATTTGTCTGCCTCAAGTTTAGAAGTAGGAAATTACCTCACTTAAGAGATTTCTTTGTATTCTGTTGTCATTTGGTACTACAAAGCATCGATATTTTTTTGCAGTTAATGGCCACAGCCAAGGAACAGTAATAGGGTAATCTTATCTAGAGCATTTTCTACCCTTCTCACCCCTTTTGTCCAGACCATTTCGGGCCTTGTTGGACGTGAGGTGCCGATTTTGAGTGTGCAGCTGATGCCTCGCAACGCGGACCAGTTCATCGTCTGCAGTCGTTCAAACACCATTGCCATCATGAATATGCAGGGACAGGTGAGTGCTGTGATCTTGATCCCTTTTAATAGAACTTTCATCGTATATAGGGAAGATTTTGGAAGTTTATGAACTTCTGGTAATTTTGCTGTAAGCCCCGAGAGTCACCAAGCTCACAAATCTCCTCTTTTCCCGATTTGGACGAAACGGCAATGGAAATGCTTTTTATGCCGTTTGCCTCGTAGTTAAGTCGGTCTACTTTGAATTACTTTGTATCCATTTGCTCCTGTTACGTTTCCTCAGCGAAGTTTGAATTCTATCTTCAGTGTGAAAGTGTAAACGGTCAGCTTAGAAAGTCCGTTTTTGCTATCGTCATTAGATGAGAATTTTGCCTCCTTAATCCTTAAGCAATTCAGAAATGTTGAAATTAAGTGATAATAAATTCGAACTGTAGACCAAGCATTGTATAATCTTCCTTAAATATTTAATGGTTTGTGATGACTGCTTTTAACGTAACTTTCTTGGTAAAATACAGTAATCGAAGTCACTACGGTTGTTGAAAGGTTTTCAGTTGATTTGGTATCAAACCTCGCACTTATTAAACTTAGCTAGCCATGCGACGACACGCTTGATCACGAACACAGCACTGCAAACACCGAAGGGTGGAAACTTTGCCACACTTTACTTGCATCATAACATTAGTATCGTAAATTTGTTGATGGAGGCAACTTAGGTACTGTGCATTCACGTGGTCTCATCTAATGTGCTCTATTTCCGCTAGTTGCGTACCAGCTCTTTCACACCGAGCTCGGTGGTGTTGAAGCACTATTTGCTTGCGCAAACAGGTAATCCGCAGCTGCACCAATGGGAAGCGCGAGGGTGGTGAATTTGTCGGTCTGACGGTGAGTTCAGGAGGCGAGTGGATCTACGCGGTGTGTGAGGATCGCCTTCTTTACTGCTTTAACGTCAGCAGCGGCGGCAAGTTGGAACGAACCCTCCCGGTGAGCGATGCCAGTTGTGATGTGATATCTCTACTTCTGATTGACAGTTTGTTGGTGCTTGATTTGTGTGCTTCCTTTTAGGTGCATGAAAAAGAGATCCTTGGGGTGGCTCACCATCCACACCAAAACCTCATCGCCACATTTTCTGAGGATGGGCTGCTGCGGCTTTGGAAACCTTGAATTGAGTCTCTATGTGTGTTGGTGAAGATTGTTTTTATTATCTCTGATATTGCGTAAGTAAATTAAGTCACCTTTATGCGTCTTGTCTCTGCAATTGTTTGATTCGAGTAGATCTGTTTATTTGAGTTTGAGTCTATCTCAAATCATGAGTGGTGGAAATGCACATTAAAGAATTCACCCGCCTTACACTGCTTAATCACTTGACTTTCCCACCGATGACTTGTCTTAGGCGACATGGCATCGGGGTAATTGAGTAAATCAATCTGAAAATACAACCTTTAAAAAGCCCGGCTAGTTTTACGCTCCGGCTGTGACGTACTTCCGAACTATTTATTGAGGGGATTGCTTTTATCAAATGAACAAGATGAGTGAAATCATTTTGTTGCCAAATTTGGGGTCCTTTTTATCCCGGCGGATTGCTGGGAAATGTGCAAAAAATCCTTCATTTCAAGTCACTGAAGCGGTGGTGGAATAAGGATAAAGCCAACTATTTCTTCCACAAAAAGCCACATTTATTTCAATATACCACTTGGCAAATGCTTTAATCACATATACAGACCGGGGATGACCAAGACTTGGATATAAAATCAACATCTATACACACACTCCCTTAAGAAAAAAAGGAATAGTTAATCAAAACATCGGCGGTTGGTTATGTGGGGTAGACGGGGTCACTACAACATTGGACTCGAATACGCCCTGTTGTTGTTGATCCATCGGATTCTCGTAAATCATTCCCTCGCCAGGCCCTGGTGGCATCACGAGATGAGGCTGGGCGATTCCCCGCATCCCCATGCCCCTTGGAATGGCCCTACCGACGGGCGCGCGCGCTGCATAAGCGGCAGCAGCAGCTGCAGCGGAGTTCATCCGGGGGAAACCAGGCCGCATGGCGGGCGGAGGGCGGGCATAGGCGGGCATACGAGGCGTCGGACCCATTCCGGCGTACTGCTGTGGCAAATCGTAAATCTGCGCCCCGGGGGTGGGTGCGTAAGAAGGTGGGAGGGGTGGGGTGTGATAGTCCTGGCCCCCAGAGGCAGTTGCTGCCGCAGCAGCGGCGGCAGCGGCAGCGGAACTACTACTCTGAAAGCGGCCCGAGGCGTCTCGTAGCTGCTGTCTTGGGGTGACGAGACCAGGGTAGGCCTGTGGACGTTGGAGGTGTTGTTGCTGCTGTTGTTGTTGGGACATGATACCCGGGATTTTTTGTTGCATGTAAGCGGACTGAGCCATGGGCACTCCTTGAGGCTGATAGAGATGTTGTTGCTGTTGCTGCGACTGGAGACGAAGAAGAAAATAACCCATCTATCCAATCTTGCCATTGTCGAAATTGGATAAAGGTAATTTAATCAATGATGAAGACTAGGATCAATCATAAATCTTTCATCAAACAACCCCACTTCAGCAAAGCAAGGAGCAAAAATTTTATTTTCAAAACTACTTTTTGACAGATTTTTGGATGAAAAATGAGGCGATAACAACCAATCCGTAGTAAACTACCAACCAAGTGTAGAGAGAGATAAAGCGGGATAGTAATGAAGCTTAGACTACGCTGCTCAAGCTAAAAACATGTTCAAAACTTGAAAAAGTATCCATCCTCTTTTACTTAGCACTAACTGAAGGGCGTTTGAACACTCCCCCTCCAGCCCCCAAGATTGTAAAACAAGTGTTGCTAAGATTCCACTGCTTACTGCCGGCCCTACCGACAGATAAACAAGTTCTCGACAAAAGACCTAAACAGTTGCAGGCGACAGCTTTGATACATTGCTTGAACAATTATATTGTCTGCCCGCTTTAAGTTCTAAATCGGACACCGCAAATTTGATGTCAACCAACCTGACCACTTGGACCAGGTGACATCATCATCTGTTGCTGAGGGGGATGTTGATAGGGCTGGTAGGGTCTCGGCTGCTGTTGCTGAATCAAATCGCTTGGCGTTCCAGTCTGTCTTTGATCCTGCCATGGAGGTTGTCGAGGCATCTGTGGTTGCTGCTGCTGCATCTTCTGTTGTTGCTGTGGGGGCATCTGGTGGTACGTGGTCATAAACTGCTGCTGTTGCTGTTGGACCATTTCGTTCTCCTCACTCATTACACCTCCCCCGACTCGTGATGCTAAATTACCGCCGCCACTGCCACTGCCACCACTGCTTCGACCAACCACCGGCGAAGGTGTCTGTGAGACAATAACACCATAAACACATTTCAATTAGAATAGGCAAGTTTATTTTTGGCATGTCAGCGCTATGAAGAGATTTGTAAAGCATTAAATTAGCAAGAAGTTTATTCTATTTTGTTACTGACTGATTGTAAAATGAAGGCTTTTGGGGGATTTAAAATTACTAACTCAAGTCTTTCAATTGAGCATGGTATAGAGGTTACAAGTTCATTGGAAGTAGGCGAAAGAACTGAAGCTTAAGAGATCAACAACAACACTCCTCAATAATGTTGTAATCCTATTTCTTACCATTTAGTTGGTTTTTGGAAAAAACCACCCTAGTTTCAAACTACCTAGAGGCATGAGTCTCCAGTAACTTATCACCTTTCTACTTTCAATAAAAATAAGACTGAGATTAAACCCATGTCAAAAGTAATCCTATTTACCCCTAAATAGTAGTTAATTCTCATCTTTCCATATTATTTTTCAGCAAAAAGAATGCGCAAAGTACAGTTGCACAAATCCTTAGCACAGGAGACTAAAATTTCACTAAAAATTTAACTTCAATTGAATTGACTATAACACCGAATTTCCAAAGTCAAACAAATAATCAAGTAATCAGTTTGATAAATAAGATAACCAAAAAATAGAGGTTTACCATAAGGTTTGCTAAAATGACCTCTTGCAACCAATTGTGGAGATCTGTGAAGTGAATAGTAGAAGGATTGTTTCACGCTTACAACAACTGGAAAGTGGTGGAAGCTGAGCACACAGATCCCATCCACGTGCACTACCAGATGAAGATAAGCCTCGCAGACTGTCATTGTATTCTCTTATTTCACAGGTGTCCCCTTAAAATGGTCATTTGCCGAGAAATGGCTTTCGTACTACAACATTCGTTAAGAGAACGGGCATGTCACCGGCTGTCCCCAAACAATCGGCACACTGCCCACTCCACACTTCAAAGACACTGCTGCATACCCAGAGGACTAGAATTTGCGCGTGTTGGGTGAATTGCAGACGGCATTGTGCACTATGGATTGCTCACCTGCTAAAAGTGAATGACATCTGCGTACTCGATACAGCTGGTTGTAACTCGAGAAACAGATTGTGCAAGAGAAGTTTAGTTTTCAGATACAGCCAGCAATAGTAAAATAATTGAACGCAAGTCCTATTTCTACAGACCAACTCATATCCCGTATCTCAAGACCTACTAATGAGGAGACGCGAAGAGGGTGATGACCATCACCTTTTCTTAGCATTAAACTTAGACAACCATATTTTCAAGTAAGAAAAAGGAACAGAGTCTTAAATGAAAATTGAATAGACAGAAGTGGAGGTGATTAGGGTGAGAAAAAGTAATTATTGGGAATTTAGACTTCAATGATTATTTTAACAAGTAAAGCGTTTTAAGGAGCTCTTTGCCGTGGGTGAACTTTTGGAACAGAAAATTACGTGGGCATACTTACCGTATGAAGGGGAACCTGAATGTACAAATTTTCATATTACCGCTGCTATCAAACCGAAGCAGCGTTTACCTTTCTATACACCAAAGCCACGGCGAAAAATAATACAATACACGCTTATGCCGATCCTGCTTTCCACCTTCATCAATCTCACTACTATTCTTCCGCATTGCCAGTAAAACTTGTGAGTCTCGAAAGGTGAAGCATTTGTTTTGTCAAGCCTTTACCAAGCATCGCAGTAAATGGTAAACTGACTGGGAACGGTATTACCGATTGTTTGCACATTGACCGACCATAAAAAATCATTGAAAATAGTGAAGCAGGAAAACAATTAGTGAATCAAGAAATTCACAAAAATCAAACTTAAGCTGCTTCCGTATCACAGTTGCAAGAGAAGCACAAGTATGTATAACGAAAACGCTAGCGGAACTGCATACCGAAGCTGAAGAAGTGTCACTTTGAGGATTACAAAGTAAACATCAAGCCTTCCATCTCAATGACTAATCCCTCATACATTCTGACCCCATAGTGCGGAAACAAGTGGTATTTGAAATAGAAAAATTGCGAATCGAATTACAGGATGAAATGCTTAGTTATTTACACTTACCGCAGTAGATGGGCGCACCATCTTACTGGGTGTGTTGGGCAGAGAGGGTGTGCTGGTGCTGTAGGCCGGTGAAGGCTGTTGCTGGTGCTGTTGTGGCTGTAGCTCTAATAAGCCAGCATCATACTGCTGCTGTTGCCTCTCCGATACGACTCTCTGGCATCGATGCAATTGACGAAGGAGTATGTCACCACGGAATGTCTCCGAATCCTTTGGCATTAGGCCTATCGCCATAAAAGAGATTGAACTTAAAAAAATCACTGTAGATTATAGTTGCTTCTTAGACGATGACTAACAAATTCTCGTTTTCGTCGTGATACCAAAATTCAAGTGTATAACACACAGAAAGAGGTGTTCGCAAGGCACTCGCCACTAAACGTCAATCAACCACTGAAACAATAGCCGTTGAAGGCTGTGTTGGCGAAAACTGTTGAATAGCCAAAGAGAGGTAAATTGAAAAATGGTACTTTCTGAGCGATTCCTCGAACTCTAAGCCTAAAACACAATGAGGCTGACTTCCGTGAACCCGACGCACAACTGGCTCAAAGCGCGAAAGGTTTGTAAGTTTGCAGGGGATAAGTGACATTGGCAAGCTAAAACCATAAAAGTAATGGCAAAAGCACTGTGACTTGTTTAAGATGATGCAGGCCCGCTGCAGGATTTTGAAATACAATTGTGGTTTCGGAAACCAATTTTTGAGAAAATGAAGAACTTCCTGAGGGACATTCCAAAGCGCCTAAAATGTTTGAATTACAGGAAGTGGAAAGTACAGAAATGATATC